TCCCTGTCCCCCGTGTCCCCCTCCGCCGTGTCCCCCGTGATGCCCGTGTCCCGCTCTGCCTTGCTCCCCGCGGCCCCCGGGCCCCGCTCAGCCTTGTCCCCCGTGTCCCGCCCCACGGCTGCCCCCGCTGCCCTTGCCGACGCTCTCGCTGTCCCCACAGCCACCAAAGCCAAGGGCAAGAGCGTGGCCAAGGAGGAGGTGACGGGCCCCGCTGTGTGCACCGACCCCGTGCTGCTCGCCACCCACGCCATGGGCGTCAACATCTACAAGGAGGGCCCCGAGGTGGCCCTCAAGCCCGACTCCGAGTACCCGGCCTGGTGAGTGCCCAGGGGCCCGCGGAGCTGCGGCCGCCGCGCCTGCTGACGGCTCTGCAGGACGCCAGGGTGCTCGAGAGCCCCCTGAGTGACTTGTTGGGGGCCCGTCCTGCAAAGTGTCACCCTGTCCCCTTAGGTCCCAGATGCATTTCTGGGCAAGGTGCTACTGGTCTGGGCTGTAGGCACCAGAGGGTGTAGGAGATGGGAGCTGCTCCCAAGCCCGGGAGGAGGAAACCGAGAGGAAGAGCAGGTCGTGCTGTGGTGGAGCCTGGGCACCCTCACTGTGCACAGCCGTGGCTTTGTCCTCTGCATGTCCCCTGCCAACCTTGTGCGTTCTTCATTCACCCCCAGGCTCTTTGAGATCAACCTGAATCCCCCCAAGAAGCTGGAGGACATGAACCCRGAATCGCTGGAATATTGGAGGCGCCTGCGGAAGTACGACACGTGGCGCCGCAACAAGCTCAAGAAGGGCAAGAAGTTCTAGGCGCAGGCCTGGCCGTGCTCTGYGTGGAGCTGCGTGGGTGGCGCCGGGCTGAGCCGCCGTCGCCTGCTCTCAGTCTCTTATTCTTGCTGAAAACTGTAATAAATCTGTGGCCGTGCTGAGGTCTGCTCCCTGCAGCGGCTGCGGTGATCACAGACACCCTGTGAGCTCCATGCGTGTGGCTCTGGTGTCCTGCGTGTCCTGCCTCGGTGGCCAGCGCCTGCCCCAGCACGTGCGCTGTGTCCTGCTCTGCGGATCAGCTGGTGGCGTTTGCTACTCGCCAGTGGCGTCCAGTGCTGCAGGTTACCCCCAGGCCACAAGTTCTGGGTGTTGGGGCATCGCTGTATGTGYGGGTGCCGGTGCTCCCGGGAGCGTTTCCTTCCCTGGGATCTGGTGTCTTGMGGGGGCAGCAAGCAGGGCATTGTGCTCGCTCCTGCCGAGGTCGTGTCTCGGCCTCCCAAACGGGGCTGGGGGTGGAGATGTCCCAATTGCCACAAGTGCCGCGTGGTCCTCACAGCGAAGGGGACGTCTTGGGGCTATGGGGAACTGTGGTGGCCGGGACTGTGGGCTTCGCAGCTTGCCCTTGTGTGGTTACAGCACRGTCCCTGGCCCCATGGCCCCCAAAGGCACCGAGGCCTTTGTGGCTGCTCCATCYCCGTGTGTCCCACAGAATGATGGAACGGTTGAGGTGGGAAGTGACCCCTTCTAGTGTGACCTGCCTGCTCAAGCAGAGACACTCAGACCACATTGAACCGGGTGGCATCTAGGCGGGTTTGGAAGACCTCCAGAGGAGACTCCCCAGCCTCCCTGGGCAGCCTGTGCCAGGGCTCTGGCACCTCACAGTGCAGAAGTTTCTCCTCACATGGAGATCAAACTTCCTCTGTTTCAACTTATACCCATTGCCCCTTGTCCTGTCACTGGCCACCACGGAGAAGAGTTTGACCCCTTCCTYCCTAAGTTCTCCCCTGAAGTACTTGCACATATTGATCAGATCTCCTCTYAGTCTTCTCTTTTCYAGGCTAAGCAGGCCCAGCTTAGTCTTTCCTCATACAAGARATGCTCCAGTCCCTTAACCACCTTGGTTGCTCTCTGCTGGACCCTYTCTAGAAGCTCCATGTCTCACCTTGCAAAGCCCATGGGCTCCCCTGGGGCCCTCTGCCACCCRTGGTCTCAGCCCTGGTACGTGCAGGAGGTTGAGAAGGGCCCGTGTCCCGTTGTGGGCAGGAAGGGCTGGCAGAGCCGCACTGTGAGCCGTGGTCGCAGCAGGGTGCCCTGCTCGGGGTGGCATCTCCCCCAGGCCRGGCGGCAGCGGGCGGGCGGGCGCCCACGCGCCACAGCGCAGGAAGCAGCTCTGAAAGCAGAAGTGCTGCGCGGCGCTGCCGGGGGGACTTTTGCTTCTAACCTTCATTTCCTCTGCACGGCGCCGGGCACGCGCCGAGCTGCAGCTCCGGCCGGCCTTCTCTGCTGGGATCTGCCCTGCGGGCTCAGACCGCRCCGTGCCCACCGGTGAGTGCCCTGTCCTCCCCGTCCCGGGCTGCTGCTCGGGTGCCCCTCGCCACCCTCMCGTGCACCAAGGCCCTTTCACCAAAGCGCCGCCCTGGGTGCCGGGTGGGTCTCTGCCCTCCTGGTCAAGCCCCTGTTGCTCCAACGTCACCAGCCACCACAGAGGGTCCTGGGGCAAACTCCCACCCAGGGCGTCTCCGTGGGGAGGCAGAAAGGGGCCCGGGGCAGGAGGAGCTCAGTCCCTGGTGCCACCCCGGGCTGGGGCCAGCAGGGCGGTTTCCGTCCCGTTATCCCGGCCGCGATTCCCTCTGCAGCCCCGGGCAGGCGGCGGCCGGCGCGAGGCGCCACCGAGGATGGCCGAGTGGAGCATGTCCGTGGGCTCGCTGGGCGAGGACGTGGTGGCCCAGCTCTGCGAGCTCCTGGACACGGCCAGCCGGGGCTGGCGCAAGCTGGCCGAGGTGGCCGGGGCCGAGAAGCGCTTCAAGTGCAGGTAGGACCGAGGGGCAGGAGCCAGGTCTATCCCTATACGAGGGACGTCTCGTGGGTGGCTTGACGGCTCCAACCTGTCTCAGCTGACGTGACAAACACAACAGAGTGTCTGGAGCCCGAGGAGGGTCCCAGCCTGCCCGGGTGCCTGGGGCCTGATTGCTGGGGCTTTACAGTGAGGAGGAGCTGGAAATGTGCTCGCTGAAGGTGCTGGAGCCCCGGGGCAGCCCCACGCAGTGTCTGCTGCAGCTGCTGGCAGAGCGGGACTGCAGCCTCAAGTACCTGCTGGCCTGCCTGGACAAGATGGGGCACGCGCAGGCCTGCCAGGTCCTCAGCGGCGCTGGTACGGGTGGCTGGTGGGGCTGCACGGGGCCTGGACGTGGGGAGGGGGCTTTGGCAGAAGAAAAGTGGAGGGAGGAGGAGCGGCTCTTCCTGCCGATGGGGTCCTGGCTGGAGTGGGACGGAGCGGGGTTGGGATGGGATGGCGTGGGACAGAGCGTGGTAGGACGGTTGGGATGGGTGAGGGTGAGATGGGAAGGGAAAAGATGGGATGGGACAGGGTGTATTGGRATGGGTTGGGATGGGATGGGAGGGGCAGGATGGGATGAGATGAAGATGGGATGAAGAGGACATGGGGACAGGACATGATGGGACAGTATAGGATGAGATGATTGGGGTGGGATGGAGTGCAAGATGATGGAACAGGGCAAGATCACAGAATCACAGAATGGCCGAGGTTGGATGGGTTCTCTAGAGATCATCTYGTCCACCCAAGGTGACCAAGTCTGACCCAAGGATGAGCTGGGGCAGGGCAGCAGGTGACGGGACGGTGTCTCAGCCAGCCTGGGTGCGCTTCTCCTCTCCCACAGTCCAGAACCCAATCCACATCACGGTGCAGCCGGAGTCGCGCACGGTGGCAGGGGGGACGCAGGTGGCTCTGACATGCTGGGCGAGCGGCCCCCCGGGGCTCAGTTACCAGTGGTTCTGCGGGAAGCAGGAGGTGAGGCCCCCTGCRCCTGGGGACACTGAGCCAGGCTCAACTGTGCTCTTGGCACACACGGAGCCTTTGGACAAGCTCTGCTGGGGGTCCCAGGCCCAATCCATGGCAAGGGCTCCCCCAACTTCTCTTGACCAGCTCCTGACGGGGTAGACGGATGGGTGGGATGGAGCACCTGACCAAGCTGTCTGAATTCTTAGTCCCGGATGTCTCCTTGATATCTCCTAGCTGCCTGGAGCCACAGCCCCAGAGCTGGTGGTTGACACGGGCACCTCGCAAGGCCAGCCCGGCTGGTACATCTGCCGTGTCAACTGTGGAGTCAACTACACCTTCTCCAGGTGGGCCCAYGTCCAGGTCGAGAGGAGCAGCAGCCCCAGCTCAGGTGGGCCCCGAGATTTGCATCCCCAGGCTGGTTCCTGATGGGCATTGCTTGATGTCACCCCTGGCCATGGGGCTTGATGAGGTGGTGGTGCCACGGGGGAGCTGGTTGTGCTGTGTCCTATATCCTCCTGGTGCCAACTGGCAGCCCTGGCAAGGCATGTCCCAGCACCCAGAGGTGATGGGAGCCTGGATGGATGCGTCCCAGCATTCCAGCTGCGGGCTCTGCCCCACATGCTGAGCATCCTTGCACCAAGCCAGGGAGCCCCAGCAAATCCCAGGGGCTCCGTTGTGTCCGGCTCTGCCTGGGTGACCATTCCTGGGTGACCATTTGGAGATCTTGAAAACCCGCTTGGATGCAGCCCTGTGCCACGTGCTCTAGGTGACCGTGCGTGGGTGGTTGGACTAGATGACCTCTGAGGTCCCTTCCAACCTTAAGCRTTCAATGGTTCTGTGATTCGGTGCCTCGTGTCCTCTCCAGCAAGCGGCTACTGCCCGACCATGGTGGGGCTGCAGATCCTGCAGCAGCCGCGGCCGTGCCGCTTGGCCGAAGGGGACACGCTGGTGCTGGAGTGCAGAGCCATGGGCAACCCRCCGCCCCAGTACCAGTGGTTCAGGAACCGACAGCCTGTGGAGGGTGCACGGGCGCCCCAGCTCCAGGTACCCCCGCGAAGCCCCCTGCCCATCCTGGGCTGCACCCTGCACTCGGGTGGCCCTGGCTCTATCTGTCCCCTTTGGCAGGTGAAGCTGGTGACGACGGCCGAGAGGGGCAGCTACTCGTGCCGTGTGTTCAACCTCTTCCACGAGGTGTGGAGCCGGGAGGTGGAAGTGGAGATCGGTGAGGGTTTGGCACTGTGCCCCCCAGCGCGGGTGACAGCCCCTTCCGAGAAGTGACCACGTCCGTCCCCTCCTGTTCCAACACCCTGGTCCCGTGTCCTGGCCGTGCTCATCCCCCCAGTGCCTCCCCTGGGTGCTCCGTATTCATTGAGGGGCCCAGCCCCATGCTGGGACACGATGGTCACCACGCACAGTGCAAAGCGAGAATTGCTCCAATGCATCCCCGTGCAGTGGCGAGGTCTCCTGAAATCCCACCAACCTCTGCAGTGCCCCCTGGGCACCTGCCTAACTCCCTGCTTTGTGTCACCACAGGCCCACGGCTCTTCAACTCYGGAGGCTCCTGGCAGGACAGGGACAGGGATGGAGGTAGGTGCAGCCTCTGCCCCTGCTGCTGGTTGCGATGTTTGGTTCCCCCAGGAGAGCCCCCATGGATGTGGTGGGACGCGGTGCCCAGAGCCATGACACCCATGGATCTGTCTTTCCAGGCGCTCCGGAGCACTGCAGCCCTGGCCAGCTGTATGGTAAGAGAAGTTCTTCCAGGAAACAACCCATGCCAAGCGGTTTGGTGACCCTGGGGCTGTCACTGTCCTGCTCGTGCTGCAGCATCTCCTCTGCTCAGCTGGGCTCAGGCATTGTGAGCATTGGGTGTAGCACCCTGAGGAGAGCCGAGCAGAGAGGCATGGACAGGTGTACCAGGCGTAGGAGCATCAGACACAACAAGGCGTCACCTTGGCGGGGACAGGGGAGTATCCCTGACTCTGTCCCCATCATGTCCCTCTCCTGCCCTGCCAGCCACCGACAAAGTGGCGCTGCTGATCGGCAACATGCACTACGTGCACCACAAGCACCTGAAGGCGCCCATGGTGGACGTGCACGCCCTGAGCAG